ATATGTATATAATAAATATATTCAAATTAAAATTACAAAAATTGGTATACATTAAAGATATAGATGGCATCTGTTGAAGAACTAGGGTAACGTTAAATGCGATTATCGACCGAAAGTTGGAGGTATAACAGAAAATTTTGGTATCCATCAATGTTGCCACATGAGTCATTATTATAGACATGCAGCGGCTTTCACTTTGTAGAAACAGAACTTTTGTTAATACGTAGTATTTTTGATCAATTTTGACTAAACTTAAATCAACTTGTGCAAAGAACGTTGATAAATTTGAAAACACATTTTGCGGGACCATTTATGGTCACAACATTACTTTCTCAAAATGGCTGACCATTGTATCTTCCACAACATGGAGTTTTTTACTTCAAAAGACGACTTCATNACGTTATATAAGGTGATTCGTGAAGTTTTAGAAATCAAACCGGCGCATTTAAATAGCATTTTAAAAAGAAAACTATGCTCAGTCAGAGTATGCAAAATAATTCCACCCAAATTTGCATATTTCCTGGGTGGAACGGCATGTTCCATTTTCCTGTTAAATGGTACATCTATATTCACAGTAAACGCATATCAAGGAAAATTAGTAAGTTCAAAAATAATTTTTACGTTAAAAAAAAAAACAATGTTATTCTTTGTTTTAGATTGAAGGAGATAAAAAATTAAAATTAACGTCACGTGAAAGGAGATTTATAAGATTTGCATCAGTGGAATTTGATGGTCAACTTTATATGACACCCCAAGACTTCCTCGAGTCCGTAGTCGAAGCTGAGCCGAGACGTAAGAAAAAAGAATATCGAAATTGTGTGAGAGCTTATTAAAAAAACAATTGCAGCTCGTCTAAAACGAAAAATTTTGAATAGTAAGGACATCGAGAATTTCAACGAGCAGACGCCCAAATTGAATCATGGTTCACCGAGACTTTTTCGGAATTTAAGAGACAAGGGTAAGTTCTTAAAACATATTTAAACATTGCCGAAATCGTCCTGTTTATTCTAAAACAAGTTAGGATTTAAAAAACAGCCTTTTTATTTTAAACTAATTGGATACTTTTAATACAACTTACAAATTGGTTAAAAACAAACAGAAAAAGCTGATTATAAACAACTTATGTATCTCTTACAAACTAAACGATAAGAAGTTCGGACTTAATAACCATGCAAATTGTGACAATAACAAAATGTGTAAAGAGCTAAACAGATTAGGCATGAAAACAATTTCAGTAAGTAAATAAATACAACACAAGAGAGTAGGATTTTAGAAAACATTAAACAAACAACCAATAAATTTGGTACTTATTTATAAACTGAATTGTAAAGGCTTTAACTCTTTCTATGTCGGTCAAATTGGTAGAAATTTTAAAATACGATTAAATGAACATAAAAAAGATTTAAAACGTAGTCTTGAGGTTACTGTTACATTCTTGAATTAGGGCTATCGGCGTGCAAAAATAGAACAAAATCACGATGGTGCAATTAAAATGTATATTAGTAAAAGAAAATAATTATATACAATGTCTAAAAGATAATTCATTCATATAGCTACTATTAATCTTATTGGAGCTTCTTTTTTACTTATCTTAATATTATTTCCGTGTAAATTTTGATACTTCTGATATTCAAAATCGAAATCAATGAAAAGACTTAAAGAAATCAAGACAATTTTGAGATCACATACAATACAAGAACAAAACAAGACTTAAATTTTCATTCTTTTTCGATAAAAAGAATGATTTGCGGTAGTTTTACATTTAAAACCGTTCTGTTGTGTTTAATCTTTATTGAATCCTATATCACTACAGCATCATTAAACATTTTGAAATTTTTAGGTATCATATCCTACACCGAATATTTATTTCTACTTTCCGTCCTTATAAGTAAGTATTTGAATTTTTTATTATTTCTGACCGTGTACGAAACAACAATTTACAACAAATCTTTTTTTTCAGAACCAGAGTCTGGATTCAAGATTGCGTTTAATATGTTTGATACCGACGGTAACGAAAAGGTGGATAAAGAAGAATTTCTTGTGGTAGGTTATTTGCTGATAACATTCATGCACATCACAATAAATTTCTTCTCATTCATGTTTTTACTTCACCATTTATTTAATTATGATTTTATTACTGTACAAAAAAACAGATACGTAGGTTGCTGGCAGGGAAGAAATATGAAGAGGGAAAACTACCCGTGAGTCTATAAATTTTCCGTGAAGCTTTTTGCTAATCAGCAGATAATATTGTGTCTATTTGCTAAAAAAAACTGTCGTGTCTGCTACATGTTTAAAATTTAATGTCAAACAAACTATCTAATGGTTAAATGAATCAACTGTGAAATACTTTTAAACCTTTAGATATGAGCGAATTTATCTTCGGTAATTACAAAGTCAAGCAATTGCTTCTAACTTTGGTTCTATTAACAGTTTTAATGCCTAAGTGCAATAATTGCTGCAACGTATCCTTGTGATGTAAACGTATTTGGATGCTATCGTTTTGCAATCTTATTCTCGTTTTTGAAGCGAACATTAATGACTAACTTTGGCTTTCAATGCTGCAAAAAGTTACTCATCTGTTCTAAGATGAGTTTCTCTCTATTATAATAATGATTCTTCAAGACCTAAAAAGACATATCGAGTGAACATGCAAGAACTACCAATTTGGTGTTTTAAATGTTTTTTTGCGCTTTGAGTTTTTCGATAATTGTAATTGTGCTTAGGTTGATCACTTAATGAAACAATGAAAATATAACGATTAATTTCAAAATGGCCGAAACATACATACGTTTCTTTGAAAATGAATTTATCAAAAGAATAAGTTAGGCTTTCATGTAGTTGTTTTAATAATGCTTTGATATTAGGGCCGTAGTCTAGGACTGCTTCTCCTTTGGCGAGAAATCGATGCGATGTTCTCAATGAAGAAGAAACAATCCTAGACTGAATATCAAGCATCAAGAATTTCATCAAAATATGCAACATTATACGTCAGACAAACAATTTTTTCCGCATTTTAGTTTTGTTTCTTGTTTTTCATCTGTCTTTGTGAAGTATCTAACAAGTAAAAACTTTCTGACAAATGCTGTCCACTGTCCTAAAAATTCCTTACGTGTTATAAATATTTATATCCTTATCATTACAAATAAAAAAAACAGTAAAATAATGAATATAGACAATATATTAATTAAACAGATGGAGAAGGTGTTTAGTGATGCCCTAAGAGGTCGTAGAGGTACGGTGGCAACGCTGAAGGTGGAAGAGGAGGATGTGAAACGTTCCGTCGAGGAACATTACGTCGACGACGAACGCGGACTTCAAAGACGTCATCACGTCGACACAACCCTAATTGTACACTTTTTTGGTCCGAAAGGCAATGAAATGCTATATTATGAAGGGTTCCGGAAGTTCATGCTGAATCTACAGACGGAAGTTTTGGAACTGGAGTTCAGCGAGTTTGCCAGGGGCTTGCCCACTATTTCGGAAGTAGATTTTGCGAAAATTTTGTTGCGTTACACTCAGCTAGATACCGACGAATACGACATGTATTTGGACAGATTGTTGGACAGAATAAGGGACACCAGGGGCATTACGTTCGAAGAATTTTATGTGTTTTGTCAGTTCTTGAATAATTTGGAAGACTTTAGTATTGCTATGAGCATGTACACCTTAGCTGACCATCCAATTTCAAAAGGTGAGACCACTGGTAGGTATTGTGGATGTTTTTATGTAAAGGAAACAGGAAATCAAACTTTTATATTTTAATTAATTAATTCTTTGGTCAACATGAATCAGGAAACTAAGATCAGAGATGTCACTTTCGAAGAAGTTTGTGCGGATCTGATATCTGATCTTCAAAATCCAACTGATTCCAATTTAGTTTGTTTGGTTTTAAGAAAAGGATATTTAAAAATTTATGGGACCAGACTGGATTTCACTCTGGAAAAATAGATTGAAAATTATTACCACTTCGAGTTTTTTCTTTTTATACCTCCATAACAGTGCCTACTGTATTTTTTTTTGGTAATCATGTCTTTTCAAGAGCATTGCTATGGAGAGTAAAACAAGTATCGGAAAATAATCTCTTTATATTTTTCGACAGGGAATCTGGTCCATCTCTAATCTCAAATCCAGACAAACCAAATTAACATCTGCCGGATTTTGAAGTTTGGACATTTCAAAGTCTGAGTTTTATGTAATTGTTTTACCTTCTTTTGCATCAGAAATAACTGTCTTTGTTTTTTTCTCTTCAATCTCAGATTTTCTTGACCTGTGATATCGTTTTAATTCTCTCAAACCTTCGTTTTGGCAGCTCATGTTGTAAACAATCTCACAGCTGAATCCCACTCTCGAAGTCTAATATTTGTCATGGGAATTAGTACTAAGCGACATGCCCTACATGTTTAGGCCATTGCTTTGCATTTGGAAGGACACCAGTTCTATTCTGGGTCCGTCTGCTTTCGTCCAAGTTTTTCCATGATATGCTATAGCATTCCAGAGTCTTTCATTCTCTACTGTCTTCACTTCGTCCATGTCATCTTTCTCACCTCAATCATTACCCACCCCTTCCCACGATTCCTAAAAGAAGTTTGAAGATTCGCTTCCTCCCTACCTTCCGGGACTGCTCACCCATCAGCATTTGAAGCTGGTGGGAATGAAACACCCAAAAGGGTGGAAAAGAAAGGAAAATGGTATGCTCTCTGAGATTGTCTACCACATTAGCTGTCAAAACGTTGAACTAACACCTCCAGTCAAGGGACAATAAGGAAGAACAAGGATAACTATATAACCAGAAATTCTTTTCTCTTTTCTTTTGTTTTAAAGATGAGTTTCATCGGGCTGTGAAAATTTGCACGGGAACAAATCTGTCTCAACATTTGGTTCATACCGTTTTCGCAATTTTTGATGAAGATGGAGATGGACTTCTTAGCTATCGAGAATTTATAGCTATAATGAAAGACCGAGTTCATCGAGGATTTAAGGTAGGACAAAATTACAATTGAACTAGAGAAAAATCATTTATTTCGACTTATTTTGAACAAAGCATTATTTTTCCGTTTGGTTTTCTTCTAGTCTTACGCAAGAAACGAGGGCTGGGAGGCATTCAAACATTGCTTAAAGCAAGAAATGAAGACTCCCACTTAAACAATTGATTGTTAATATGTTTAAGTTGAATAATGTGTTGTGCCATAAATATTGTGATTGATTATGAAGCAAATTTAAGATGATAAGATTTACATCTTTATCCTGAGAGTTGTTAATTTTCAGTTTTTGTATTATAAAAGTTTATAGTGTTGTGTTTTTGTTACTGTTTTAACTTGTACAATATTTATCGGAATGTTACTATTATTTTTATCTCAGTATTAATAATTTCTTTTTTGTTACTTAAGTGAGTATTAGACGAACAAATTACGTGTGAATTGCATTCTCGTAGAAAATTATTTTTAAGTGGAGGGAATGCCAATAACATTGATAAACAATTATTTTAGTTATAGATGGTAGTAGTAATTGCTAACAATAATAATACTCGAAAATACGCTTACATTAATCTAATTGATATTAATTGTGCAATAATGTTAAATCTTTCGAACCGACTTCAAAAAAATAAATTATATCTCAACGATTGTCTCATTTGAATTTGAAGAATATATTCCACCTCTACTAAGGGTGGTAGAGAATTAAGGTACGACACTCGTTATTAACTTTTTAGTTAAGTTTTATTTACATATAGGCTAAGCTTTACGTATATTTAAATTATTACAAATTCTAGTCGTGTAGCAGTTATTATTGCATTTGCAATTGTTTGTTTATTTTCTCACATTGTTGTTACCTTAAATATAATAAATATATATGTACATTTACTCAGAATAATGTTATTACATTAGCAATTTTCAAACAACGCAATATTGTGTAGTTTTTTTTTATTTATAATGCTTATGTTATTATTACTTATAACAGCTTTGAGATGGAAACTATTAAATAATTGTAGAATCATAAAATAATTAATTTGGAATAACCAGAAGGTCGAATTCCCATTCGAGATATTATTGTCTCTATTTTACAAGCATATTCCTGAGGTAAGTAATAAAATTTTAAAACCAAAAACACGTAAACTTAAAGTGACTAATCTGTTAATAATGCGTTTTGCAATTTATTTTTCAGTTATACAGTACACTTGCCAGAATAGCTAATGATACAGGACAGCGCAATAGATAACTTTGAATGTAAAGCAATTTAAAATAAATAAAAATTTCATATATATACTGAAAAGATAGATATTTCGTGGGATACTCGCTTAGACTAAGAAATTTACATTAGGAATGCCATTTCATTCGTGAACAATTAATTTCTTTAAATCTTAATATATATATGGTGTGCTTTTGCAATAATTTCTCGAGCTCATTCCATAGGACATTCAAGGTTCTAGCGTTTCAAACGAAGTAGGATGTATGCAGTTGATTTTTTTGGGATCGTTATTCAATTGGAAATGATAATTCCCGCGAAGATCCATCTTACGCTTGTTAGCGTTCTCGGTCTTTTTTTAAATGTTCTGATGGACATACTGACCTATGACATAATCAATATCAATTATTAGAAGATTATTCGCCCTTGCAACCCCATATCCCATACAATATAACATATCGGCTGCTGCTCTTTTATTTCATTCATTGCTAAACTGTTTGCGTTCTGCGATCAGTGTTACTGTTACCGCATGTACCGTGCCTTACCATTCTTTCGAGCTGTATCATGAATTTTGTTGACAAGTGTACATAAAAACTAGACAAACTAATCAATTTTTGTGAAGGCATTCGTTTCGGAGGTATATCTAATAAGCAAATTAGTTGATTGAAAGAAACGAAAGTAAAGTTTCAAAAATAGTTCACAGCAATTGTTTCACCAAAACTTGGCGCTTCTTCAGGTGAAGATATTCTCTAAGATATTTGGCGAAACAATTGTTGTGAACTATTAATATATATTTTTTGAAACTACTTTCGTTTACTTTAATTCTATCATTAAAATTAGTTGATACATTTTTTCTATTATTGATTTCAATTACTTGTACCTACATGAATACTACATGGCTACGATGAGATAACCGTTCTATTTATATAAATAAATATTTACTAATTACTGTTTTGAACGATAATAATAATAATAATAATAACCTAATTAATGTAATTGTGAAACAATTGTAAACAATCTAGACATTGCAGTCTATCAAGTTGAATAATATTTCTCGAATTAACTATTAATAACAAATGTAAGTGGATTGCATATTATTACATTTGCACATAATGTCATTTTGTTCGAATTATAATTATTTAAGATCTCATCGTGCACACGTCTTACGTTGGACTGATTCATCGAGAGGCTCTCGAATGCGTCAGTTGTTTCGTTTGTTAAACTTTTACATGTTGTATTGGTATATTTTATACCATTTATGACTTTCGCTTTTAAAAGGTACCCTAAGATGGGCAATGAGCTAATCCACAACAAAAATCATTCGAACTTCTTGGAATTAATATATATATTCGTAATAGATCTACACTAAACAATAGTAGCTGTTCGTTTAGATGTCGATTAAATAAATTGTAGTACCGAAAGGATTTTCAATAATTTTAAGACAAAAGAACATCAGATTGAGACTGTTATATGGGAAAGCAAACAATTTTTAGAATTACGAAAACAATTACAATAAAACACTAACTAGTAATGTTTAATTGAAAAGATCCTAGATCGTCGATCCTTAGGTTTAGATTCGTACGTGGGAAATCCGGTACTATTTCGAATGGATTTTATGTGTGAACGAATTTGGACAGGTCGGTTTGTTACTCTCCATAAAAAAACATACTTTATAGTGAAAACATTTTACATAATGTTTTTTTAAACATGATTTGAATCAACGAAAAGGACAATGTACTTACATCCAAACATTTTTAGCACAAAAATACATACAATTAACTGTTAATAATACAAAGTACAAATCACCCCTATTAAAAAATTGCCTCTCTCTCTGTGTACCCCTTAATCCTCGAAACTGATGACCCCATTTCGATTGGACTATAAAAACATGACTGATTACTTTTTGAACTTATTTATTGGTTATAACATGTTTTGAGTCAGGAGCGATGTACTTTCATATAATCATTTTAAGCCATGTGCAGATACAGTTTTGCTAATAACTTAAAAGCAATTGAAGATTCTTTAATTGAGACTGCCGCTAATGTTTGTTTGTATTTTCAGGAGGACTCTAAACATCTCGAATGATACATCCTAAAGATAAAACGTTTTATGTATTTGTTGTGTAGTCGCATTAGTGTTGTTGAAGCGCAGCTTGTGTTGTTAAACTTAATAACACGTGACAAAAAAAAGGTAGACGGAAATCCCGGAGTTCTTTTTAAACATTCATGTCATACCTGACACACGGTATCTTCTTTTTTCATATCCTGCTCATCGTGCAGAATATTTTTCAAGAATATATTGTTGTACTAAAGACAAATTAAACTCTCTCTCTTTTGATGCTATTTTTTTTTCGGTATTTCCTGATGGTCTAAAGTAAACAAAATACAGACTATCAGGAACGTTAGATAGTTATATGCAAATATTCAGCGTTGGGAAATGTTTTATTCATCAAAACTTATATCTACATATTAGGATTAGTAACGAACAATAATGTTACCGATGGATTAGTTTTAAAATAGCCTTTGTCGACTTTTTTTATACATATTAACTTTCCATTTCTTTCTTAAGATAATCTTATACAAATCAAGGTCAAAATCAGAGCAAACAACAATTTAGTATTATAACCAATACCTGTGTTTACCCTTTATTATGACTTCTTCAAGGAAAATTTTGTTAATTTGTATATGTATCATTTCTTCATCCAATTATTTCAGCAAGGTATTTAATTAAGCACTCAGCAAATGTTGACCGATTTAGAATTGTACTAATTGAAAATTATCAATGTTAAAGTTAGATTTAAGGTTTTCTCCGAAAATTCCTAGCGCCAAATATATTTTGATAAGCCTTTCCACTCTTTTTGGAATGTTTTCATTCTATTGCTTTTATAAATAATTAACGAGCCGCATATAAAGATTGTGTTATTGGTAGATACTAATTACCACATACGGTTTTCCTTTTCATTATTGTTAACCGCAATCGTGGAAATTTACATAAAAGATTTTCGTAAACGGTTTATTCAACTTGAAACCTTGACAAGATTACAGATTTGTATTTTTGTATTTCCAAACCGAAGAATTGGCGCCCATTGGTATACTAAATATGATTTTTATTCCATTCACTAATCATTTTGATAGGTGGACATAAATGCGTGTCCACCTAAGCGTTCCAAAAATAAAACTGATGTAGTAACAGAAGCAGAAGCAAAGAAGATACGATTCAAAACCACAAAAAAAAAACAATCGAGGACCAGACGATTGTGCTTAATTAATATTTATCTGAAAATATTCACATAGTTTGCTGTCGAATTTAACGTTTCATTAAATCCATATCTCGTAGCGGAACAATATCTACTATTTTCTGTTATCAAAATAATTATATCCACCTTCGTTAATTAGAATAGATAATAAATTCAAAGTCAATAATTAAATTATTAATTTTGTTGGTTTCAGTTTTTTTTTTAAATTGGTTATTTTGGAACTAAAATTCTATTTTGGGATAATGCTAATTTTCTAAGTAGCAGATCAAATTTAAATAAAATAGAGTAAATAGATTTAAAAATAAACAGGCGCAAATAGTCGTCATATTTCTACACACGAATGTATTTTTCGTTTTTGAATCAAATCTGTGAAAAATTATGTACAAGAACGGACAAAAAAAGTCGTTCACTTATTCTTTTAGGATTTCATATAAGTATCAGAAATTCCTGGAGTTAACGTTATTCCTGGGTGCCTTGCTAAGCAGGACATATAGAAAAACGGTTAAATTGAAAAAACAGTAAAATAAATAAGAACAGCTCCAATTATAAGATTAATAGGAGTAAATCGACTTTATACCGAAAACTACTCTGCATTAGGGATAATTTTTAATGAAACGTAAAACAAATCGGTTTAGGACCGAAAAAACCTACTTCTTCAAATTTTTTCTTTAGTAGATTCCGGGAGACTCATATTTACGTTATAAGGATACATTTTCCTTGTAAAGCACTGTATATTCATTGCTGTTTGTGTACGTAGAAAAGTTCAAACGAAGAAGAGTGCGCAAGCAATAATAATGGAAAGAGATAGCAATAATGTAGCGTGGGTTTTGTTATAAATTCTCCACAAGAGCGAGTTTCAGCTTTTCGAATACGATATAGACTTGCTTATTAGTCCTGCGAACTTCGATCATCTTGTACCGACGATAATATTAACTTATAACTTGATAATTTTTTGAATTAACAACGAACAATCGAAAATGGAAAGAATAAATATTGTGTTTCGTTTTGTGGTGGTGTTAGTTTCCTTATCGATCTTTGCCATCGTCCTAGGACATCCCGGTAAGTGGGTTTACAAATCTACCCGTACCCCAAGTCATGTAGGTACCTGGAGCTTTTGAGGCAAGCTTTTTGGTTCAAATCAATAAAGCTTTTGACCAATTTCATGCACCTAGCCTTCATTCAAACTGCAAACTTTTAAAAACTAAACTAGGAAATCATTTGATTATCATAGATAGATATATTAAAAAATTGACTGCTGAATACAATGATACAAAGCGAAATTTTTGCGAATGGTTTATTGATTTTTGGATATACCGGCAGGTAGTCGGTATCCGGAAATATTTGACTTTAATATTTATAATGAATGCCATTTTTTTGTAGTATCATAGCTAGTACCATTTTGATTAACTTTTAGTTTACATTTTATTTAAAAAGATATCTTATATCGTATTATCCAAAAGTGGACTTTTACGAAAACCCTATGAACATTAATTTCCATTTTTGATTACTGATTAATAAGTCATTTTTATTTTATCTTTACTGATTTTGATAACATCAGAAATGGTTCCCTGATCTCATCAAAGTCTTGAGCAACATACCTAGAACCTACTTATTTTGGCAATGATGGTTGGTTAATTAAAACATTCACGAACGTATTACCTCAAGGTTAAAAATACTCGAGATGTTCAGTTTTAATTCTGATCTCTGAATCACAACAAAAGCGCAACGAATTTCATACAATTTTGTACAGTTTGTAAATTAGGGCTGTACTTAATTTGATAGATGTATTTGATAGCTATAAAACTAAACATCAGAAGTGTTAAATGTGCACTTTACGACATTTTAAACTCTATTGTTAAACAAGAAACTCTTAAATTACATTAAATGAGAACAAGTGGGTTAAATAACGACTTATTTATATTCCGTTTTAAAACAACTGTAGATAATTTGTTTCAAGTAACAATTACTTAATTCGATCATTTCAATAACAATAATTCACTTTTTGATGAAGGCCTTTGTTTCTTTCAAAAATTGATATCTTTTTACTGCATTGTGTCGAAATTAATTTCAAACATTAACAAGTTTTTCTTTATTCTTTATTATTTATTACTGCTTGAGACTCAATATTAACACTGATGATATTAATTCATTGTGCCTGATCTAATTGGTGCTATGTTATAATAACCTGTAACTGACAATTAACTTTGTATTAATTAACATTACAAGAAGTTCATCGCCTTTCTGAAACTCTGGACTCAAAATTGGGTTACCACATTGCTGTTATTTTGTAGCATCGATGCATGTGATGTTCTGCCTTTAAAATAATTATTATTTTCAAGCACGTGTTGGAACTATGAACTACTGGCCCAATTGCAATAAAATTAAAGCATTTGTACTTGTCAGCAAAATAATTGATCAATTTGCATCACCTACAAACAAGTCGAATGCATAATTACGTGTTAGTGTTAAGTACACTTTACATACACGTATACAATATATATATATCCATATATATTGAATACGTAT